GCCAGTAAAAAGTGACGTCAGGATTTGTTGCGTTTCTATGCCCTACGCTTTCTACAGTTTTCGTTTCATATTACAGTTTCATTTCATATTTTCGTCATCAGTGATCTTCATTGAATAGATAAGTAAATAATATATATTCCATGTAGCAATGTTTACTTGCAACTCTGTAATATTTGGGTACCGGAACGAAATCGTTGTCTAACCTCTTTAGTCGCCGGGGTCAATTATTTTAAGGGTACCGAAATATTACAGAGTTGCAAGTAAACATTGCTACATGGAATATATATTATTTACTTATCTATTCAATGAAGATCACTGATGACGAAAATATGAAATGAAACTGTAATATGAAACGAAAACTGTAGAAAGCGTAGAGCATAGAAACGCAACAAATTTTATTCTAATTTACTCGACTAACCTCCATTCATCTATTTGCATTATACTTTTCTCTATTACCTATTATCTTCTTAATTCATCATTTCAGACAATCAACTCACTCATACTCCTACACCTCGCTCGATCAATCAATCAACTTATCTAAACAAACCTTTTACACATTCTATTCCTCGCAACTCTTCTTTCTCTTTTAAATCCGTAACAAAAAATCTATATTCATACCTATACATTATCCTACGTCTCACTCTATCAATCAACTTATCTATATATACCTTTTACTCACGCTTTCTTTATAATTTCTTTACTTCGCCTAACAACTTACACAGAATTTCCTTTCTATTCATTCTTATATATTCCTGGCTCATTACCTTGCCTCACATTTCTTTCCTTTTCAATTCTTGTTCCATATTCCTCGCAGCTTTTTCCTCTTTTAAATCTATATCTAAAACTAAATCTGCATTTCATATAATTCTGCCTTAAGCATTTTCTTATCCAGAAAGTCCTCGTGTATCCTTGTCTTCATCACGTCTTCATCTCCATTCCTTGTTCTTTATCCTCTTTGTACGAACCTTCATAGAAACGCAACAAATCCTGACATCACTTTTTACTGGCGAGAATGGGAACACTTCTCCAGTCAGTAAGATGACGTCATCCTAGTAATATTATTTTACTGACTGGCAAAGGGACTATGGGAAGACAGCCCATGTATGAAGGAAAATGTGAAAAGTAAAATCACTAAACATGTCACCACATCCATAAAGAAATTACTAGGATAATACTAGTATTATTATGATGCGACATCTGGATATTTGAAAAGGATAAGAATATATGGTATGATAAACATAATAAATTACAAAAATGAACGTAACAGTAAAACAAAAAGAAATATTATTAAATCTATTAAAAGAGAATACAGAATTAGTTAGGGGTCGCATAGACCGAAAAGGAGAAAGTAAACGAAAATTAGTAAGTTAAACATTAGTAAGTTAAATTGATCACAAATCTTATGCAAAATTTTGTCTTATAATTTTACTGTTTTCATATCAGAATGTCATAAAAATAAAATTTTATTTAACAAATAATATATGAACATTTTCAGAAGGATATGTGGAATGTGATAGCCGAAAATATTAATAAAAGTAACGAAGGTCCTCAAAAAACTGGACAAGAATGGGCAAAGGTTAAAGACATACATTTCTATTATATATTTAGTTTTTTAATATACAAGATGAATTAAAGTTTAAAAAAAAAAAGAATAATTTTTGATTATATCTGTAATTTTGCAGACATGGAAAGATATTAAGGCATATATTTTTAAAAAAGAAGCAAAAAGACGGAGTTATGTACAAGGAACAGGTGGTGGACCGCCTTCTAAAGTACCTTTTTCTAGTTTTGAAGAAGATGTATTACAGTTGTTGACGCTAGAAGCAGCCGGATTGGAAAACATCCCAGAAGGAGGACTAATAAATATTGTAGAAGAAGTACAACCTTTACAAGAATGTAATTATCAAAATACAATGCAAGAACAGAACATACAATGCTCAGAAATAGAAATAGATGAAACAGAAAATGTATCAACAAATGTTAATATAAGGCAACATAGTAGAAAGAATCAAACAGTAGTACAGGAAAAGAATACATGAAAAGGTAATTTTGAATGGAAAGCCTATTATGTATGTAATTATAATTTTTTTTTTAAATTAAAATTTTTTAACAGCAGGCAAGTCTGTGCATCAATTATCATACAATATGCTAGAAATTCAAGAAGCTAAATTAGAATTAAAGAAAAAAGAATTAAGAATTAGAAGAAAACAACTAAAGATGCAAAAAATATCCTAACAGAATTAAAAGAAATAAAATTAAGTTTACAGACACTGAACGGATTTCTAATATAAAAAATATTAACATAATTTAATTTATAAGTTTTAAATTTACAGGTTTTGTGCAATACGAATAATGTAGAAAAGTTTATTTTGTTTTGTTTATAAAATTTATTCGTAATGTAAAGAAAAATTTATTTTTGTCTTAAATAAAAGAATTAATATTATAAACTAATTTAGTTATGCAAAATATCTTTCAATTATTGCTTCACGTGTCGCATGTCCTCTTGCACGCATATTTGCATTTTCTGCCTCAATTCCTTCTTCAGGAAAATCTTCTTCTTCTAAATATATTTCTTCAGGAACGTTATATTGCTTAGCAATATTGTGTAATACGCATGTCGCATTTATTATAAGTGCTAAAACACACACACACACACACACACATATAATAACAAATTAACAAAATTCTATAATAATTTTGAGTATATTTCTTTATAAACTGTTATTGCGTGTTAATTACATCTTACCAGCAAATTCTGGTGTATAATGTAATGCCCTTTCTTTGCGTAAACATCTCCACCGTCCCTTCCATATGCCTATTGTCCTTTCTACTGAACATCGTGCTGTAGCATGACAATCTGTATAAGAAGCACTTGGAGATCCTGCTGGCTGATTCAGTTTAGGTGTCATTAGATATGGTAATAAGGGATACCGCCAGAATCTCCTAAAAACACAATTAATTATATGTTTTAGTAACAAGAGCAGTTCCACAAATTATATATCTGTGCGTGTATGTACAAATTTGACTTATATAAAACATTTTTTAAATATATTTTAATCGAATTTTATTACCTAATAACCAGATATTTCGTCTTCTGTTTTCATATTTATTTAACATGTGTCTCGACAATTGAGACGAGTTCCATACTCTTGCATCGTGCGT